GAAAGGTAACCAGTTCCGATAGGGCTGAGAGATCCCTGATGGCGTGCCACAGTTTGTGGAGTCCATGAGTCAGGGAAGTGTAAACAGTAGGAGGGCAATGGATAGTCAAACCATGACTGTCACCCATCAGGGGGGATATTTAGCTAGGGTTCATTTCAGTATAATGAACATCTGGTAGCTGGCACTGCACCTGGCATGTGACAGACAAGCAAAGCATTTGCTCGACTTACTGAGTGAGTGTACGTATGGGTAGTCTTGTCCCTTAGAGCAAATGATTGTGCGTATAATACATATATGTTCACACTTTCTCTTGAGGCTAGAAATGAAAATTGGCTATTGTGATGTCAAGTACTATAAAAATGAGGGAATTAATTCAGAATGGATTCTCCCTGCCACCCCAACAGCAATCTGTAACTTCAAAAATGCTGTTAGCTAGAAGGAATAAGTTCTAGTGTCCAACAGCACAGCAGAGAAAATATAGTTAAAAATAATTTATTGTAATTTCAAAATAGCTAAAAGATTTGGAATATTGTCAACATGAAGGAATTATAAACGTTTGAGGTGATAGGTATCCTAATCACACTATGTCGATCATTACACATTATATGCATGTATCAAAATAACATATGCATCCCATAAATATGTATATATATTGTGCATCAATAAAAAGTTGTTTTCAAAAAGTAGTGACCAAAATGTTTTTGAATCAATGTTTTCCCAAGATACCTTACTATTAACAAAATAAGTTAGCAAGGGTGTGATGTTGATGGATAATGAAGGCAAAAGCCAATTTCTCATATCTGATTTTGCTTCAGTTTTTTGGTTAAAAAGAAGAGGTTTTAGCCTGAAAAGTGCCACAAAGAATATTGCTGAGAGGGAAGTGAAGCCCAGATGAGCAGGGAAGATTGGAAAATCATAATAAAGTACCCAGGGCTTTCAGTGCTTTGGGTTCAGGATCCCAGTTCCCTTATTGTTGAATTTGTCTCAAGAATCTTGTGCAGCAAAAAAGGTGCTGGAGGCTGACATTTGAAGTTCTGATTTTCTTTCTTTTTTTTTTTTTTTTTGAGTTGGAGTCTCACTGTCACCCAGACTGGAATGCAGTGGCCCCTCCCCGCCACTGCAGCCTCAACCTGCTGGGCTCCAGCGATCCTTCCGCCTCAACTTTCCAAGTAGCTGGAACTACAGGCGTGCACTACCACGCTCGGCTAATTTTTGTGATTTATTGTAGAGATGAGGTCTTACCAAGTTGCCCAAGCAGGTCTCGAACCCACAGGCTTAGGCAATCCACTCACCTCGGCCTCCCAAAGTGCTGGGATTAAAGGCTGAGCCACTGAGCCCGGCCAAAGTTCTGATTTTCAAAAATGAGGAGGGGATTCTAAACTAGATAGAAGGAGCTTGATATCATAGCTAGGTAAATTCTAAAGTTAATTTTCAAAGAGTAGAGTTCACTAAGAGCCAGCGTGGGGTCATCAGGCCGAAACTATACAGATTAACCTCATTTTTTTTTTGTTCAAGGTCTCTAGAAAGACTTGGTAAAAATCCATTTGAAAAGATTCAGTGTATCTAAATCGTCACAAATTCCCTTATACTCCAGTGGACAAGACAGAAACATGTGCCTTGGGTATGACAACAATCATGAGAACTTGTCAGTGGTTGGATCATCATGCCTCATCAGTGCTGATTTAGGGTTACCACGGGCTGAGAGATTCCTAATGGTATGCCACAGGGCTCTGACTTTGGTTTCAATGCACAACATTTTTATCAGTGAAATGATGACAAGTGATGAAATATTACTTTTCAGATTTGAGGTGGCACTGAAATGAGAAGAAAAGTGAGGCTGTGAGGTACCATAACCATGAGCTATAAAGACCCCAACAACAGAAAAGGGAGTTTTCTACTTTCAAATGGCCACAACCTTGTTTCAAATGAAATCTGAAGTACAGCACTAAAGAAGTACAATGTGTAAACAAAAGGCTGGAGGAGCTGATGTGTTTGAAATGGGGGGGACGAGGGGGAACACCAGAATTCCGACTGTCAAATCCCATGACATCATCTCCTTCCTTACCTTCCTACCACGGTTCCTCAGTGACTCCATGAAACCCTCAACATTCATGAGAGACAATCTAACAAGAAGAAATTTAATATCAAGTATACAAAGGGCAGAAAGGCACATACCTCATTCTATTTTTGTCTTTTGAGATTAGGAAGTGAAACAATTTTGTAGGTTTTTCTGCATGTGAGCAGGTGAAGCAGTATGCATATAGTTAGGTGGGAAAGAATGCGCATTTCAAGTGAAAGGATTCTGAGACAGCGACTCTACTGGATAAAGGCAATGAATGAGCCTAAGCAGTGGCACGTGTGAAATAACTTTAAGGCTCTGGTTTAGAAACTGGAGCTGAAAGGCCAAGATGCCAGCGAGGTTAGCCACATGGTCTGTGATGTCACACTCTATTTTGGAAGTGAGTAGCCAGACCCAGAAGGCCTCGGGCAGCTCTGAGCATAGTACTTTAAGAAGACTAGAGATAAAGTGGGGAGTGTTCGGAGGGGAGGGACAAGGATGGTGGAGGGTGTCTCAAAGCAATCTCATCATCCTGGAACCACTGAAGAGGCTAGGGCTGTGCGTGTAAAGGGAATTTAGAGCAAGGATTTGGGGAAGCCGGGAAATAATAGTGGTTTCCTAATACTTGAAGGGAAATTAGAACTTAGATTTGTTCTGAGTAGCTCCAGGGGGCAGGATAAGAACCAGTAAGTGGAAGACGAAGTCAGACAAATGATGGCTCCATCAGAGGAAGAATTTCCCAACAGTCAGAACCAAGAGATGGAATGAGCAACCTGGAGGGAGATTAAACTCCAATCACAGAGGTGTGTGACCATTGTTTAAGGACCTCTTCAGAGGGCTACTGTGCCAGGGATTCTGTGGTTGGATAAGGGATTTGAATAGATGCCTCCTGATTCTGAAAAGCAGAATTTATGATTCTGAATAAATTCTCATTTATACAGAGTCCTATACCTTTCAAACTCCAAACAACAAGAATATTTGTCATAATACTCAGTAATGACGAGTGTCATTTGTAAAAAAGGCCCAGAGGTTGTAAAGTTTCCAAAAGGACATTCCTAAAGCATCATGGTCTATATCTAGGAGAATTTCAGTGACAAGTGTCATTGGTGGGTATGCTACACATGTCCTGCGTAGTCACTGTTAACCACAATTGACAATGAATCTGAACACCCCATTCCAAAAACAATCTGGACAAAGGAGTCAGCCACATCAAATGCAATTCCTTCCTTCCACAGCTCTGCTTATATGTAGTCCCACAGCAGATGCATTTATACAATTTAGTTCTTAATAAATAAAAATACATGTAAACTTATTTCTAAAAAGATTCTGATCACATTATACTTTAAAAAATGCACTTGCCATTTGGATCGTTTGTGCTTCTGTAGTATCTTCAAATATAAAGGATGCTAAGTTGTGGCAGTATGTGTATCCTACTTACATAGTCCTACAATCACATTCATACATTACTCTTGAAATTTACACTTTTAGACTGCCCACACTGCTCAAATTCTTTCTCTGTCTCTTAAAATTGTCCCTACCCTCCCATTAGCTGGTCCATTTTCTGGATCATTGCCCATGTACTTTGAGATGCAGGAACTTGTAGAGAAGAGTTGGAAAACTGTTTACCCATAATTATCGAGAACCATCAACACCCAAGTCTCTGAAACCAAGTGGGAAGGTGTGAGACTTTTAAACATGATCTCAGAAGTGCACCTCAGAGCATTTAAAGAGTCCAAAGTTTAAGTGACTGTCTTATTCCTTTGAAGCACAACTGCAGGCTGTGGTTTCGGCTTATCCATCCTGTTAATGTCATGAATATATGGAACTGGTCCAGGTTTAGCCAGACATTACAATCCCATCCATTTCTAGAACTCTGTGAGTCGATAATATGCTAAGACATTTACAGAGATGCCCAGTAGATATGTTAGTCAGTCAGTGGACATGACAACTATATCAATACTTATTCGCTTTTTAATTTTATATTAAAATAAGGAGAGACTGTATGCTTCATAAAATATTCAGGTTGGCTTATGTAAAAGATTTCCCTCAGTTTAAATGTCCATAATTGTTTTTATAAAAGGTGTCATCCTGTGATTTAGTTTAAACATAAACTTGCCTAGAGTATATAAAACATAATCTGATGCTCATATTTGAATTCACCTACATTGTTACTAACTATGGGCAACTCATTTTTTTTTCATTTAGACCTGGCCTTCAGGACATTAATGTGTAGAGCAAATGGACTGGTGTAGAGATTTACTGTTTCCATCATTCTGGTTCCAATTTCTGAGGTACATCTGCATTAAGCAGAGCAAAGCATGGTTCTTTCTATACCCTATACTCACAAATGCATTATTTTGTAAAATCTCCAATTGTGAGAAACATTAGCAAGAAAACATATGTTCCTTAAATTATGACATTCCCCCCAAAATCTTCCACAATATCTAAGAAATAACTCCACAATTGAGAGTTATTTGGAATATATATATATATTCATAATATACAAACAGCTCAATTCCCAAAGGCTTCCAGAAACATGCTCATATGCTTTGAAAATATTTCCCACCCAGCTTCCGTCATGGCTCTTTTGATTTGTGCAACTCCAATGAAGAAAATAAAAATCCCTGGAGGCAGAATACAGATTAACTTTGAGAATAAAGGCAGATAAAACGACCACAAATGCCAGAGAAGGATCCCCTAGAAGTTGAAGGTGAAAGTTGTATGTTTTCCTCAAAACTCCCATACTTTTGGTCCTCAGTTACCCATCAGGAGCCAGTGCCTGCCTTCGATGGCCACCATAAAGTCTATGTCTGAGCCTGGGCTGAATAAAGGGACCCTATGTAAGGATATCGAGGCACCCATCTCATTAATAAAGCTCAGAGAAACACAAGCCCCTTGGGACAGTGCTGGCATCAAAATCAAAGAGCTCCCGAGGACTTACCAGCTGCTCTGCTGGTCCCGTCCTGCCCAGGTGATGGTTCTGCTGTTCGTGAACAGAGGATTGGCAGGTGGGGAAGCTGGGAGGAAATGTAATTTACTGCATCTGGTAGCAGAGAACAGGGAATACAATTAGGCACAGTGTTGGGAGGCCCAATGGGTTCACTGCCGAGACAGCAGCTTGCCTGCCCTACATAATGGACTGCTGAGGCGGCCACTGAACGGGAGGATCAGAGTAAACAAAGACGAGCATTTGCCCAGTGACTGGCATTCAGTAGAGTAGCTGAGGCAGGAGGGATCCCAGCCAGAGAGCTCAAGCCCCAGGACTGTTCTATGTGTTAGAAGAGTCATCAGAAAGCTCTAGATTCTAGGAGGACAATGAGTTGGGGTGGCTGGGGGGAAGAATCAGAGAGTGGGAGTCACTATCAACTTGGTGGAATTGACCAAATATAAAACATCGAACTAGAAAAGTGCATTAAATAGTACTGAAAAATAGATTCATTCTCTGAACTGGAAATACAGCTTTATGTGCCTAATATTATGGGGTCCATTCCCTGAACAGGGAATACAGCTTCACATGCCCGATTCATTCAGACAACCAATTTTATGTGCATTAAAAACATACTCCAGAATTTATCCCATAATTTCCACACTTCAGGCTTGTGTTTCAGTCAGAAAATCCTGAGATTCCAAATGACAACGTCCCATGAACTCACCATTAGCTTTGGTTCAGGAAATGCTTTAGCATCAGCTTTGCTTTAGCAAATACCTTGACAAGTCTATTTAGGGAGGTGGGACCTCAGGGACATATGCATTAGCAGACATGCCAAGGTATCAGAGGAGAGGAAGAAAACCCTGGAGTGAGACAAGACAAATCTGGGTACTCTCCAGAGAGAAGTGGGAAGTGAAAGTAGGAAGATTCTAGAAAGATGGGATCCATGAAATGGGATTCCTTCTATGTGTCACGACCATGTCACAGAATCCCGGAATGTCCATCACTCATCAATGATTACATCTAACTGCTCGCTGCATGTCTCCCCTGAATATCCCACAATCACCTCAAACTCAACATGTCCACAATTCACTCAGAATCCTTGGCAGTTCCCTCAACTCCTTGCCTTCCTGCTATCTAATCCAGCCTGTCGCCTCTGCCTCCTACACATTCCTCACACCTTCCCCTCTCTGTAGTAACCCCAAGAGTGCTGCCTCAGTTCTGGCAGGCTTCTTTTTAATATCTTGCTGGAGAGGACCGTGAACAGACACTGGACTAGGATTAGTTCAGTTCTACCCCAACTAGACACTTTGCTGACTCACGTGTGAACCGAAACGATTCAGAATGTATTCATATTGGAACGTTATGTTCTTAGGGCAAAGGTGGAATTTATCTAAGAGAATGGATTTTTCCATATCAATCATGTGGGAGGAAGGAATGGAAACTTAGGATTAGGCAGGCAGGCCTAAGGGTGGAGTGAGGCTCAAGTTGCCTTCTCTCTCTGAGGCCTTATTTGTGCTGCAGCTTGGATCCTGGATAGGGAGGACATGGATGAAAACCCTCTCACTGCAAGGAAGGAAGCTGAGTCTTTGTGATGATGGTAGGTTGGGAGATGGCTGAGAAGCAGCCTAAAGGGATTCCCGAAGATGGGTCTGGATTGGAGTCAGGGGCTCTCAGGGTAGCCATGAGTCTGAAGTTGCACATTATTCTCTATGCTGAAAGGTACTTCCAATATTCCTGGTCTTAGGCTGTAAACTTTTCTTTACTCTCACTGTGAAAAGCTGTGGGAAGGGTCTGTGTCCAAAACCAGCCACAAGGCAGAACCAGAAAGAGCAGGAGCTTGAAGTCAGCTGGTCCTGAGAGGGCAGGGGCAGCTGGGAAACTAGTCCCTGGGAAGAATGAAGCAGTGGTCTGGGACTAGTCTAGGACAGAAGGGATGACAAGAGCAGATTCTCACAACTTCTGAGTTTCACTGAGGATTTCCAGAAACCTGTAGAATGAAATCCTCACAGATATGACTTTCTGCATGCACCTGAGTTGGAGGCTCAAGCTATTAAGACCACCTCACAACTGGTCACTTGTGTGTCCAGTAAATTTTACGCTATATAGTTACTAGGGCATCTCTGCATACTGAAAGTTTTAGCAGTAGAAATAGAAGCATTTTCTCCATGTAGAAGTGCATGCGATTCCTAGGGTTTATGTCTCCGCTTCCCTGACAGTTCACTGCCAGACGTGAGTGGGTTATGAAGTTACCTTTGCCCAAGGTTCACTTGCTGCAAGCTCGAAGGCTACAGCTACTGAAGGGCTGGAGCAACATGGCTTCTGTTAAGAGATAAGGGAGTAGAGAATGGGACATGGGGAGGAGAATAGGGAAGGTCTCTCAATACACCATTAAGCACCAAACTCTAATGTTATGCAGGCGGAAGTATCTGACAGACAAGCACAAGGAATAACAAACAGGCCCTCCAAATCCTCAACGGGGGAAAAAACTTCTTCAGAAGGCCCCAATCAGTAAACTCTCTTCTTCCTGCCAAAGTCAGGGTGGTCTATTACTATTCCCCCCACCGCCAGAGAAGATAGCATCCTCTCACAGAGTAGAAATTTAAGGTAAGTGCTGCTTCTTAGTTCGAGCACTGCTGAAATATTCACAGAAGCTATGAAGAACATATATAGCTAAAATAATGAAAACTCTTCCTTAAAACATGACTTATGGGCAATTGAAGATTGAAATTTCCCAGTAACTGGTATGGAAGTTTTGAGGTGGGGAAAGCTCTAGGCTACCCTAGACTGGTATGGGATGGGAACTTAAGAGGATCAGTGTCTTACAACAAAGACTGAGATAGGCCCAGGACAGACCTTTTCCTTTGCCTGTCTAGCCAAGGATTTCACACTAGCTCCCTCCCAACGGGTAAGGAACAGAGTTAGCACTAGAGGTACACTATATGCAATTTATAACTGCAAGAGACATTGCACCTATTTAAGATAGTAAAAACAACCCACTCAGTCGATGAGGGTTCTGCTATATAACAACAGTATGTGTTGGCAGGAAAGGAGATAGAGGAGCCAGAATGTATATGGCCAGGAGATGTTACTCAGAATAAATTGCTCATGATTGTCCAGGCTACTATGTAACCAAAACTCACTGGTGATCCACCAGTGCAGTACTTCTATTTCCTCTGACATGCATAGGTGGACACACATAGAGCACCTGAAATGGGGACATGATGCACACACCAGCAGCCGTCTCTTGGTACTTCATAAGTTGTGATGCTTTTGCTGTGTACGTCCAGTGTCTATATAGTTGGATACTCCTAACTGGACCTGAACTCTGTGATCAGTGAGTCTCAGAAATGAACTGTGTTTCTTAAGGCATCATTGTTCAAAATATTTTTTTTTTTTTTTGAGTTGGAGTCTCATTCTGTCGCCCAGGTTGGAGTGCAGTGGCCGCTCCCAGCCACTGCAGCCTCGATCTGCTGGGCTCCGGTGATCCTTCTGCCTCAGCCTTCCGAGTAGCTGGAATTACAGGCGCGTGCTACCACGCCCGGCTGATTTTTAATTTATTGTAGAGATGAGATCTCGCCTGCCCAGGCGGGTCTCGAACCCGCGGGCTCAGGCAATCCACTCACCTCAGCCTCCCAATGCGCGGGATTACAGGCTGAGCCACCGAGCCCGGCTCAAAATAATTTTTTGTTAGATTTTATAACTACAATTGGTTGACGCTAAGATAATCTTGGCAACCTGGGGCTTTTGAAATCAATGAACGAGGAAATAAAGACATATCCCAAAGTCCCTCAGCTGGGATGCTCTTGAGTTTTTACCCTCAGACCACAGTGTGACCTGAACTTCAATCACATTCTGGGAAGCTTGTGTTCCCTCCTTCAAACTTCTTTCTTTGCTAATAGATATGGTGTGATGGAGAGATGACCCGGGCTTCGTTATAACCATAGATGGCAGGAATCATAATCGAGGGTGACAGGTAAGACCACAGAAACTCTTCCCAGGGCTGTTTCCCAAGAAATGAGATCCCTAAGATGTCTGAATCCTCCTAAGCCTGAGCTTACCCATCCTGGCAAAAGGCAATGGAGGACAGAGTCAAAGGGCAACCATCTCCGCAGACCCTCTTTCCAGTCATGACCTGGTTTCTTACCACCTCTATGAACTGCTTAGGTGGGTGGGTAAAAATAGTGGAAAGTAATACAGGGGAGGAATGAGGGGAGAGGTTCAAGGTGAAGAAGAAAGACAGTGGTGAGAGTTTATAATGTAGTTTCATTTTGCTTGTTAATAAGTCATAGACTATATAAGTCTCCACAGTCACACAGTCTTCTCAGGGACATCACATATAGGCTCCTGCCCTTCCCTAATTGTCTGGGAGAAGTCTAGGGGAGTTCCTGATTTGAGAAAGGAAGACAAAAAAGAAGTGAAAGTATAAAAGAGCAATGTACCCTCAAGTATGTGGGTATCTATGGATTAATGTCCTACATCACATCCTAGCCCGAGTATTGCAATACTGCTGATGGTCTGACGTGTCTCAGGTCTTCTCTAACACCAGGGAAGCCTGCTGTCCTCCCTATGCCACACCCCCATTCTCCAAGGCCACTTTCTCAGTCCATACCCTACCCCCAAAGCAAAGAACAAGTGCCTTGAATTGGTCATATCCTAGATAATTCCTAGAACTTGTTGTAGGTCCTTATCTCTGAGTTCCCACTGACTTGGCCTTGACTTGTCTCTGCCTATATACAGTCGAAGCATGAAGTTTAATTTAGTATCTTCCCAAAGATCATCCATGCAGCCAAAATTCAGATGTCCTGCCGTTTACTTGCTAGTGGGGGGAAAAAGGGTCACAATTACCACCCCCCTCCCCAAGTCAGAACTAGCCTTTGTGTAAGTATCTTTGGCTAATCCAGAAAAGCACATTTTTAAACTCTTTGCCATATAGTTCCAAATGACAGTAGGAAAACACTCTGATACCAACTCTAATTCTGGTTGCTGATCATCTTCCTAGTATAGAGGTTGACCACATAATGAGAACCAGGCAAGCGATGTTATCTGATCTTTCCAACATGTTCCTACAGGTCTAGCTAAGGGTCAAGTACAAGTAGGAATCATGGCTTTGCAGCTGAGGTCAGGGAGCAAGTTGATGGGTGAGATGCTCACAACCCCAAGTTCATCCCCATAGTCCAGGTACGAACTAGTCCAGGTAAGGTCAGGGGCAAGGTAACAAAGGGAGAGGGAGAGAAAGACCTGCTCCCGCCAGGATGGGTTCAGGACACCAGGGCCCTCCCTGCTCCTACCTTTCATGCACTTCCCACCTTCAAGTGCTTTCCCTCTCACACAGGAAGGGAAGTTGTGCCCAGCCTTGTTTCTCTGGAAGCAGACTTACGATTTTTAAAATAAAATAAAATAAAATAAAGAGAACCAGAAAAAAAAGAAAGAGTGAAAGAAAAGAAAAAAAACAGAGGCCTTAGAAATATACCTTAAGTACCTTCTGATATGTGTTGCGACCTGGGACCTAACCATCAGGACAAATGGGCTTATTCCTCAAGAAATCTGGTCCTGACGTTAGCACACTTCTTTGCTAAACATCTTTCAGGATGCCAAACAGTGAGCCTTTGGGCCCTATTAGGAAGGAGAAGAGCCAGGCCAGTTTTGTAAGATGAGAAACAGTTGAGTCAAGAGACAGTCCTCAAAAAAGACAGGCAGGGAAGATTTGGAATGTGGACCCCCTCAGTGCCCTGCAAGCAGTACTGCTCCTCTGCTGCCTTTCTGAATCAACACATCACGGCTACCAGTAAGCCCATGTTAATGAAACTCCCTAAGCTGACCAGGATAAAAACATTCACCTCCAGTCAGGGCAGACAGCACTTACCTCCATCCGTATTGGAGAAGCCCTGTGGGAACAAAAGCAGGGTAGAGTGTTACTGTACATGTGGAGATATAATCCCTCATTCACTTAACTGGTCTTTTCCCCCCAGGCCCAGTCCCAGTCCCAGAACTTGACTGTGCTGGGCAAACCCAATGCTCTCTTTTCTTCTGGACAATTTGTTTGGGATTCTCAAATTTAAGGGCAGAATTTACTATTCTTACCTTATACCGAATTTCTCCCAATAGAGATTTATTTCAATTTTCCAGAAAATATCCTTGGTTATGTCACAAAAGTGGTATCAGAAGATCCCATCTTAAAATTGATTTCATTAGATTGCTTTTTTATCACTGACAGGTACTGAAGAAACAGTTACCAAATGGAGGGAAGGTCCTGAGATGTTCAGCACCTACTGGCTTTATGGGTTCTCGTCTCTTTTCTACCACACCATCTGTTTTTATATATGGTAAAATGGCATGTTTTTATACTCTTTGTATTTGGAATACAAGTCCATCTCATATGGTGTTTTCTCTGGCCTTTTTATTAAAAAAAAAAAAAAAGGCTCAAAAAGCAAACTAAAATGAAAGCCATTGGGAAGATGTTTAATCTGCTTAACAGAAATTGGTTTTGGAATTCTAGAGTTAGTAGAAGACTTTTCAGGAATCAGGCATATAAGGGGTGTGGACTGCAGGTGATGGGTAATCTAATGACTCTTCCCTGTGCCTCACAGCACACCAGGTAGTCTCACACCTAAAGACAGGCCATGCTCAGCTTCAGGGTGGCACCTGGTCCTCACACATCTGCCCCTCATTGCACAGAGTCTGTGGCTCAGAGTTCTCATCAATACCAACTGGTCTGTTCTCCAGTTGGCACTATTTTGCTAGGCTTTACTTCCTCATGGATATAACGTAGAGAAATCGCATTTGTTGTCTTCACCTTTTGAAAGTCCTTGAAGGATTTTTCTGTCTCCTTCAGTTTCTCTAGGATGATTTGCTCTTTGGCAGATATCTGGGACTCTTCGCTTTCTAGCGTTTGTATTTCCTGCTCCAGCCTGGAAAACACACAAACAGAGGACAAGTTACTTTACTGTCCTGCCATCCATGGGCAAGAGAGCAGTTCCTTCCTGCTGGGCGATTTGTACCTTCCTGGCAGCCTCCGTTGTACATTATGCTGAGGAGCCGGGCCAAGGTTTTCCATTACAGAGCATCCTGTGTTTCCAGTTATGCCCCTGGGCAGACATTGGTCCAAAGAAAACAACCAGAGCCACCTCCACTAGTTCATAGCCACCACTATGCAATATGCTTTGGTGTCTGCCCTCCAACCCTATTCATGTGCATACTTGTCACTTGGAGGTAGATTGTATTTGCATAGCATAGGACATCATATCTGAAGGAAAACAGCTTCATATTCTCTTGCCTATCTCAGAATAAATGCTCTTCTCTTAGACTGGCCAAAAGGTTAAGGGTCATTCTTGCTCAAATGAAATATGTTTCCAAGAAACGACTGGTGGCCAGTACCCTTGGGAGCTTGCTGTCCTCTTCCTTGATGGCCTGGCTTCTACTGCCAAAAAGAGGGGAGATGAAGGAGACAGATGCAACTGCCCCTTCTATTTTGGAACTTTCCTCAGTTTTCACAGTAATCCTATCTATTTTTTGAAAGGGAAATTTCAGTATTGCCAGGAGACTCTGGGAATATTCCAGAACAGCAGCTATAGCTATGATTTGGAAGAAGTCTCAGCAGCCATATTCATATGGTAATGATAATAACCATTTGCTTTTATTGAGCATTTATTCCATGCCAGGAACTGAGCAAAGAATTCACATGGATCATTATATTCAAACATTCCCAGTGACCCGATGAGTAGGGAACCCCCATTTTACAGATGAGATCATTAACACTTGGCAAGGTTAGGTAACTAGTTTACTGTTGCAGAGCCTTGAAGCAAGGATTCAAGCCAGGAGGTCTAACTCTAGACCTTGCTCCTAACCACTGCGCTAAACTCTTACCACATAGGTTCTACAGTATTTCCCAAATTTCTCTCCTCTTATTAAACATTGCATATGTTGGCATACTAGAGTGATACTTGTTGTGAAGCAATGCCTTTGGGGGTTATGGAGGGATAGATATCCCCCTACTAAAAGACTCCAAATTGCTGTGCCTTTTGAATTTGATCTGAATTGTTCATTCACTCATTCATTCAATTAATCACTCATGATTTCATTTTTGCTTTTGGTCTCTTTCTTCCTCACATGCTGGACGCCTTGCTGCTGAGTCTGTGCCTGCCTATACTAATCCCATCCCCTGCCCTCTTCTATCTTTTAATCTTCCCTTGGGAACTAACAAACAAAGTCTACCAGACTTAGACCTAAAATATAGAGTTAAGAGTAAGATCTTCTGAGAGGTAAGGAACACCACAATATAGGCAAAAATTTATTTAGGGACGCACGGCGCCCCTCAGAGGCCTTTTCTATTTCCTTCCAGGGTGTCAGAAAAACAACCTCTGGAGGGATAAGACTTTGTAGCCACTACTTTGGGTTATGAAGATGAACCCTATATCCAAATGCACCCCCTCTGAATGAACACAGCTTCAGATTCATTTATCATTTCAGTCGGGAAAAGTGAAAGTCTCACAACAACTTATAAAGCCCTGTAGAAACTATCTGACCTCCGTTCTTACCAAAATGCCTATTTCACATTGTCCTTTAGTCAAATAGAGTTACTCTATCTACCCTCGCGTGCCCCATGTTTCTTCCTTCTCCAAGAAACTCATCTCAAACTCTTAGCCCTTCTTGAAGTCTCAGCTCAGCTGCCACCTGCATTGAGGCTTTCACAGATTTCACTGCCAGGAAATAACATCACCTTCCTCTGCATATTTCTTACCAGATTATTTTGGTTTATCAGAGGTCTTATCAAGTCTACTATGTGTCAAAGCAGTTGTTCTCAACTGAGGTGAGCTTGCACCCCAGGGGATATTAGAAAAAGTCCAGAGATATTTTGGTTGTCCATAACTCAAGGGGGATGGGTAGGACTGAAGTTACTGGCATCTGGTGAGTAGAGACCAGGGATGCTGCTAAACATTCTACAATACACAAGACAACCCTCCACAACAGACAGTGATCTGGCCTCAAATAGTAACACACATTAATTTCCCCTACAAGATTATAAATTTCTCAAGGAATGCTCAATACACCCATGTTGATTGGACTTAAAAAGTGCAACACACCAATGCTGAATGGATTATAAAAAAGCTGAACCAAGTTGCCCAGGGTGTGGCTCAGCCAAGATAAGACGTTCAAGAATTTTGGAGACCAGGGTGAATTCTTCAGCAAGTTTTGACTTGAGAGGCTGTGTGTGGGCTGAGATGCAAACAGAATGTACAGGAGAGGGGGCCAAGCAATGCAGAGATATGAACACAGAGATATGTAACTTCTTTGCTGTTCCAAATGTTCAGCAAAATCTTCTATACACGTCTGTGTACATTATTTTGGGGGGAATCAAGTAAAGGAACATAAGTATGAAATAGGAACAGCACATATGAGATGGTCAAATGACCCATAAACTGAACTAATTCAATGGATAGAAGAGGTCTAGGCTAGAGGTTTCCTGTTTAGACTGGATGATACTACTGGTCAAGTAGGTTCTGAGCAGATTTTATTTAAGTCTCAAAGGACAGAGTGTTTCAACAGATATTTAGGATGTATGGTAGGTTCCATTATTCTCAAAAACATTCCCTCCCTTCCTCCTTTATCTCCATGGGAAGAGTATATACCTCCAAGACCCACTGATAAAGATCTTCACCGTATGATTTGCTCTGATCTCACCGTGGGTGAGATATACTTCCCTGTCCCTTGACTTTGTCCTCAGCCATACAACTTGCTATAACCAATAAGATGTCAGCCAATTAAACAAAGCAGAGACTTGAAAAGTGCTTGCCCAGTTGGGCTTGTCCTCTCGTACCTTGACCAGCACCAAGAGAAGAGTTTCTCTGGCAACTGCTGCCCCTTCAGCCTGGGACTCAGAAAGAACACACATGGAGTAGACTTGAGTCCAAACCATAGCTGGAAATCATGTCTTGTTGGAGCTATATGGCTGATCAAGCCTAGATCAGCAAACACCCAGACTACTCATAGAAGTGTGAGCAAGAATAAATGACTTTTGGTTTAAGCTACTGAGTCTGAGTTTATATAGCATTATTGTGGTAATAATTTAACTAGTATAGGTCAAAGATGCATGTGTGTACATTATATACATATATATATCTCCTTATAATATATATCTCAATAATATATATCCCAAATGCATACTATATATATATATATACATATTTATATGCGTGTGTTATTATTGGTATTTATATAGACCAATAACAACTAAAGCTAAAAGATCAGAAAGAACATAAGCTTTTCTCTCCTCCCTTCTCTTCAACTGCTGAGAAATCTGGAAAGAAACAGGATACTCCTTCATGAAGATTAAGATTGAGAAAATAGAAGAATATCAGTGGTAGTTGTCTCTGGGTAATGGAATTATAGGTGATTTTAATCTTGTTTTTAGAATTTTCAATATTTTCTCAGTTAAAAAAATAATTTATTACATATCTAACCAGAATGAAAACAATGAGTTGTCTTTTCAAAATAGCTCCTGAGGCCTACTGCTAAGAAGGTGGCGTCTCACAGGCCGTGTCATAAGAGAGGGGCCAGGGCCTCAGCTTCTCATGCACCAAGTGAAGGGGTTAAACAGATATACTCCAACATCTATTTAAATTTAAAACCAACATTTACTGAGCTTGTTTGGCTGGACTTAGAGCTAGGCACTTCAGGTGATTCTAAAATAGACAAGATCCAGTTAAGAATGGCTAACTGAAAACAAAAATGGCTGTCTCTAAGTAACTCATTTCTGACAAAGCAGCCCAAGTGGCTAAGGATTCTCTGTGACCTGATGCCCACCGGCTGGCCGACTGTCTCCTCAACCTGCCCTAACCCTATGGGTTTCAGGGCTCTCAGCTATATAGTTCAGGTGCTAAAGATTTGGGTCATGATACTGCGTAACTGAGAAGGAACAAGGAGAGAGAGAGAGAGAGGGAAAAAAAGCAACGAAACTAAACCTTTGAGATAAGAACAACTGAGTTTCACCCCAAAGGGAATGAATGAAGGAAATGGAGAGTTTATGTAAGTCTAAATAAGATAGATCCAAGATTTTCCCACAAGTGCACATGTGTCCTTGGGCCAGACTCTGAGGGCGCTGGACAGCCCAGGCCACTATCTTTCTCAGGAAAACCCAAGTCCTAGGGCAAAGGAACTTCCCAAGAAACAGTGTCATGGGGTTAACAACAGTCATCACAACTGGGCTGGAAATGCCACTCTTTGTAGTTTCATGACTGAAATCTAATGCAGTCTTCTCTGGAAGAGCCAAATAGATATTGCTGTGCTAAAAATAAAGAATGGGCAGGAAGTGTAATTTATACGCAAGGTTAATCGAGGCTCTGTGGGCTGTGACAGGTGCACATAACACCCTCTGACCGGCTTGCTCAGTTCCTTTTGAGCAAAAAGCAAACTGTAATAAGCTGTAAGGAAAGGTGACACACTGCAGCTGTGCAGGCTTAATTTACTGGAGATGAGGCTGCAATCATGGCCAAATGGCCTTATAAAATCCACCTAACCTAACAGAACATCCTCACAGGGAAATACAGAAGACCTCCTGCTCTAGGAAGTACATCGATCATTCTCTTATTTCAGAGTTTATTTATACATTCATCTATCTAACTTCATGCAAACACTTTCTATGTATCAGGCCCCGTGCTGAGCACTGGGGGATGGAGAAATAAATCAGACACAGGGTCTGCTCATGAGAGTTGTTGGTAAAGGAATGAGAATAGCCATGTGAACACATAAATTACAAGACAATTCCCAAAGAGTGAGGAAACAATGATGTGTCACAGAATAGTCGGTTCTGCCTGGGAGTGTGTGTGGGAACTCTTAAGTTGTCTACCCAACATCTATTCTTCCCTTCTTCCATATGAAGAGAATCCTTATTTTGTTGAATATGGCAATGTGC